GCAGTTTCTGTAGTTTCTTTAGTGCCTGTAGTTTCTACAGTTTCTGTAGTATCTGTAGTGTCTGTAGTGTTTGTAGTGTCTGTAGTGTCTGTAGTGTCTGTAGTGTCTGTAGTGTCTGTAGTTTCTGTAGTTTCTATAATGTCTGTAGTGTCTTCCTGTGTCTGTAGTGTCTGTAGTTTTAGTAGCGTCTGCAGGGTCTGTAGTGTCAGTAGTGTCTTTAGTTTCTGTAGTGTCTGTATAGTAGTGTCTCACGGTAGTTTCTGTGGTTTCTGTAATGTCTGTAGTTTCTGTAGTGTCTGCAGTGTCTGCACTGAGTCTCTATAGTTTCAGTTTTGTCTCTAGTGTCTGTAGTGTCTGTAGCTTCTGTAGTGTCTGTAGTGTCTGTAGTTTCTATAGTGTCTGTATTGTGTGTAGTGTCTGTACTGTTTGTAGTTTCTGTAGTGTATGCAGTGTCTGTAGTGTCTGTAGTTTCTATAGTTTTTGTAATGTCTGTAGTGTCCGTAGTGTCTTTAGTTTCTGTAGTGTCTGTAGTGTCTGCAATTTCTGTAGTGTCCGTAGTGTCTGTAGTTTCTGTAGTGTCTATAGTGTCTGTAGTGTCTGTAGTGTTAGTAGTGTCTACAGTGTCTGTAGTGTCTGTAGTTTCTGTAGTGTCTGTAGTGTCTGTAGTGTCTGTAGTTTCTGTAGTGTCTGTATAGTAGTGTCTGTAGTCTCTGTAGTCTCTGTAGTTTCTATAATGTCTGTAGTGTCTTCCTGTGTCTGTAGTGTCTGTAGTTTTAGTAGCGTCTGCAGGGTCTGTAGTGTCAGTAGTGTCTTTAGTTTCTGTAGTGTCTGCATAGTAGTGTCTGTAGTTTCTGTGGTTTCTTTAATGTCTGTAGTTTCTGTAGTGTCTGCAGTGTCTGTACTGAGTCTCTATAGTTTCAGTTTTGTCTGTAGTGTCTGTAGTGTCTGCAGCTTCTGTAGTGTCTGTAGTGTGTGTAGTGTCTGTAGTGTGTGTAGTGTCTGTAGTGTCTGCAGTTTCTGTAGTGTCCGTAGTGTCTGTAGTTTCTGTAATGTCTATAGTGTCTGTAGTGTCTGTAGTGTCTTTAGTGTTAGTAGTGTCTACAGTGACTGTAGTGTCGGTACTTTCTGTAGTGTCTGTAGTGTCTATAGTGTCTGTAGTGTTAGTAGTGTCTGCAGTGTCTGTAGTGTATGTAGTTTCTGTAGTGTCTGTAGTGTCTGTGGTGTCTGTAGTGTCTATAGTTTCTATAGTGACTGTGGTGTCTGTAGTGTCTGTAGTGTGTGTAGTTTCTGTAGTTTCTGTAGTTTCTGTAGTGTCTGTAGTGTCTGTGGTGTCGGTAGTTTCGTACTGTCTGTAGTGTTTGTAGTGTCTGCAGTGTCTGCAGTTTCTTTAGTTTCTGTAGTTTCTGTGGTGTCTGTAGTGTCTGCAGTTTCTTTAGTTTCTGTAGTTTCTGTGGTGTCTGTAGTGTCTGNGTAGTTTCGTACTGTCTGTAGTGTTTGTAGTGTCTGCAGTGTCTGCAGTTTCTTTAGTTTCTGTAGTTTCTGTGGTGTCTGTAGTGTCTGCAGTTTCTTTAGTTTCTGTAGTTTCTGTGGTGTCTGTAGTGTCTGTAAGTTACTGTTGTTTCTGAAGTTTCTGTAATTTCTGTAGGTTCTATAGTTTCTAGATCTCTTCTTTTTATTTAACTTTGGTAGTTTTTCTAGTGTTGGTAGTGTTTGTAGTGTCTGTACTTGGTGTAGTGTTTGTCTGTTTGCAGGCTGTTTTAGTAGTGTCTTTTTCGATGGTTTTGTTCCTTTTGGAATATTGTTTGCTTCGTAGTTAATCCTGTAAGTTGTAAGCTACTAGCCTGTACTATGTTTTCTAGCAGTGACTGTG